TATTTGGACTCTCAAGTATCTGGGCTTCTACGGTTCGCTGAGGTCCTTCCGGCACTTGATGGAGCGGCTAGTCCTCTGGAAGGACGAAGTATGTGGGATCCAGTGCTGGATCGGTGGCTGGTTTTGAGGGTTGGGGTGGCGCGGTGTATGTATGAAGGCCTGTTTTCGAGGACTTGGATTATAACACATATGTAATTTTCTTCTATTCAGCAGCGTGCATTTGTTAAACAACTCTATGCAAGGTGCTTTAAGGAGTTTGGGATGAATGGACACAGTCTGCTTGCAAGACAGACTTGTAAAGAAAGAAGTACAATAGAGGATAAGGCGCTGAACTAGAGGAAAGATAGAGACTAGGGTGAGGTGAGTTGGGTACAAAATGTAAGAGGATGCCAAAAAACCCAAGGTAAAAAAATTTTAATGCTGCATTTTAAAATATCAAAATTAATGCGAAAAAGTCATAATTGATAAATGCCATGGTTTTTAATGAATACAGGATCCGTGACAGTGCTGTGCTGAGCGTAAGGCAAAAAGAATATGAGTTCTTTATCAGCAGATTCAACAGACGGGCGTTTGAAAATATTTGGGAGGGGAGAATAAAGCAATTAAGTGGTCAGAGGGATCCTTCAAAGACTAAGAGAATGTAAAGTGTTATTTATATAGCATTCACATTGTATTAGGCATTATAAGTAATCTAGAGATGATTTAAAGTATATAGGGGGATGTGCATAGGTTATATGCAAATATTATGCGTGCCATTTTATGTAAGGAGCTTGAGCATATGAGGATTTGAGTGTGGGAGGAGTCTAGGGAGGTGTCCTGAAACCAGTCAACTCACCTACACGCTACCCTACCCATACCCACCCCTTACTCTACCCCTCACCCCCCACCTCCTGCTTCCCTGGGATATTGTTCTTGTGACTGACTCCCTGGGTGGTGCAGTTATCATCCTTGGCTGCTAAGTGTAAGGACAGCAAGGTTGGAGGTTCTAGTCCACCCAGAAGCACTTCAGAAGAAAGATCTAGCACTCTACTTCTAAAAAATCAACCTATAGAGCACAGTTCTACTCTGACACACACATGGTGTCAGCATGAGTCAGAAGGCCACAGCAGCTGGCCAACTGATTGGATTCTGTGAGTAAAGTTAGCCAGACAGGGAAGGGGTGGAAGTATTGCAGGTAACTGGGCCACATAAGCAAAGACAAGAAGGTCAAAAGACCCTCTGGTTGCGTGAAAGTGGAGAGCTGAGTTCTTGGAGACATGGAGCAGTAGTTTTCCTTACCAAACACTATGCCATTTAAAAGTGACCCAGAAACCCAAGGCCTGAAGTTCCCAGACTCAGAGTTTTAATACAAACAAAAACTGGATCCATATTATTGGCCCTACACACTTTAGTCTACTGAAGCCAAAGCATTCTGATATATTAATTATGAGATAGTTAGGGATATCATTTTTGTATACTAAAACTTTTTACTTTGACCCCACAAAACAAGTGTTCTGTGTTATGTGACTGTCAGTATCAAAGCCAAGTCCACAGAAGCACTATCCTGGTGTGTCATTAATAGACTTTAATTTGTTTTCCTTTAGTATCATCAGTAGCCTCCATTCCCCAAGGATCAATATCCATGAAATCATTGGCTTTGTGCCTTGTAATACACGAAGAAAGCAAAAGAATGAAAAAGCATTCACCTAACTGGTGTTGCCTAAGGATCTAGGTAAGAATTCTGAAATGCTCACACTTAATCTAAAGAACATTTCTACCACCACTTACCTGTCAGTTTGTCATACTGTGGTGACTTTTATGTTGTTGTGATGCTGGAAGCTATGATACTGGTATTTCAGATATCAGCAGAGTCACCCATGCTGGACAGGTGTCAGCAGAGCTTCCACACTAAGTTAGATAGGACCATCCACTTCTGAAAAAATTGCCCCCTGAAAACCTTATGAATAAATATCACATGCATGTAAAATTTTGCTGAAGATAACAGTATATTGAACTTACAACAGTATATTGACAGGGAACTGGCAGAAATTCAAGCCAGATTCAGAAGAGGGCATAAAATGAGGGATATCATTGCTGATGTCATGGATCTTGGCTGAAAGCAAAGAATACCAGAAAGATGTTTACCTGTGTTTTATTGACTATGCAAAGGCATTCGACTGTGGATCATAACAAATTCTGGATAACCTTGCAAAGAACAGGAATTCTAGAACACTTCATTGTGTTCATGAGGAACCTATTCATAGACCAAAAGGCTGTTGTTGGAACAGAGCAGGGGGATACTGTGTGGTTTAAAGTTAGGAAAGAGGTGCATCAGGGTCAAATCCTTTTCACAATACTTAGTCAGGCTATATGCTGAGCAAACAATCCAAGAAGCTAGATTACATGATGAAGAATACAGCATTAGGAGTGGAGGAAAACTCTTTAACAATCTATGATATGCATATGACACAACCTTACTTGCTGAAAGTGAAGATGATTTGAAGGACTTACTGATGAAGATCAAAGACTCCAACCTTCCATATGGACTACACTTCAATATAAAGAAAACAAAAACCCTCACAGCTGGACCAGTAAGCAACATCATGATAAATGGAAAAAAGATTTACATTTACAGAAATTTCATTTTCCTTGGATCTATAATCAACATGCATGGAAGCAGCAGTCAGGAAATCAGATGACATATTGCACTGGGCACATTTGCCACAAAAGACCTCTTTAAAGTGTTAAAGAGCAAAGTTGTCACTTTGAAGATTAAGGTGCACCTGGCCCAAACTATGGTATTTTCAGTCACCTCATATGCAAGTGAAGCTGGACAATGAAAAAGGAAGACTAAAGAAGAATTGATGCCTTTGAATTGTGTTGTTGGCAAAGAATACTAAAAATACTGTGGACTGCCAGAAGAATGAACAAATCTGTCTTGGACAAAGTAGAGCCAGAATGCTCCTTAGAAGTGACAGTGGCCAGACTTGTTCTCATGTACTTTGGTGCCAAAGGGGCAAGGAGGCTGCATCTTCTGACCTCCTCTAACCCCACAAAAGGAAGACAGAATCACCATCTATAGCCCAAAGCCTATTTCTGCAAGGCCAGACATGCTGCCTCCCTCCAGCCCTTTCACCAATCGTTCCTCCCACAGCACTCACCACCTCTCTGCTGGGTTTGATAATTTGCTGCAGTGGTCACACAGAACTCACAGATTATGGGGTTTATTTGGGAAGAAACAGGCTACAACTCAAGTTCAGAAATGCACTCAGTCTCTCACAGCCCACCATCTCAACTGACAGTCTCTCTCAGCAGTGCATGTCTCTCTCAGCCTCTCTCAGCAGTGCATGTCTCTTGCGTCTCTCAGCAGTATGTGTCTCTCATGTTTCTCAAGAGCACATTTCTCCCAGCAGCATGTCTTTTTTTAGCTAGCAGTCAGAGAGACTTCTTCTGCCTCTAGAAGGGCTCCTTTTGAACCTGGCAGAGTGACCACTAACCAATCCCAACATCAAAATTCTATATACCTGAGACGGAGCAAACTTCCCAGAAAATTACTTTGTGCTGCTCCCAACAGAAATACCCCAGGTGGATAACTTTAACAATCAGCAGGTACTCATTTTCTCACAGCATATTCCACCACGGAGTTTACAAAGACTTATGGCTAGAAAAGCCACACTATGTAATTTATTACACCACATTTGGTCATATAGTCAGCAGGGACAAGGCCCTGGAGAAGATATGCTTAGTGAAATAGAGTATCAGTGAAAAAGGGGAAGAACCTCAGCACAATGGGTTGACATACTGGCTGCAATGATGGGCTGAAGTGTAGCAACAATTGTGAGGATGGTGCAGGACTGGGTAGTGCTTTGTTCTATTGTACGTAGGGGTGCTGAACGTCAGAACCGAACCAATGACCCCTGATGATGACAACAAGAAGGAACAATTCATAGCAGGGCAAACCAGTTTGGTCATGGCCAACAAAGCAAAACCAGAATGGACGTGAATTTTTTTAATTGGGATGATCTAGAATGATAACCAAAACAGGAAAAATTGTGGATTGAAGCCATGGAATGAGAGACTTGGAAGAGGCATACTGAGTCCTTTCAGGAGCCTTATGTATGAGGTATAGCAAGGATTGTGAGGCTGGCACAGGACCGGGCAGTATTCCGCTCTGTTGTACATAGGGTTGCTATGGGTCAGAGCTGACTCAGCAGCACCTAATAACAACAACATGTATGAGATTGGATTTTGGCAGGACTTTGGAGAGCTACACACATTCAAAGTGACGTCTTTGAGCAAAAGCACCACTGTTTCTGACTGTGCTCAAAATCTAACAGGCAAGAGATTTGGTTGCTATGCAGTAAATATGCTATCCTTGTTTTCTAAGAGGCAGATTTTCCGGCAGGGCTTTGGCCTATAATTTTAAAAATTGGTCTGTTCTAGTTTTGCTTCCTTGACTGTGACTGAACTGGGAGGAACCAGTTTGGGGCTCATTTCTTACCATTTGCTGTTGTTTTGATGGTGCTGGAACTATAACCAGCATCAATTTTTTTTATTCTTTTAAACAGGAATTCTTCCCACTGTCACCATGGGTATCCGGGGACTAATGAGTTTTGTGGAAGATCATCGTAACGAGTTCTTCACTGATTTGAAGTTGCGGGACACAAAAATTATCATTGATGGCTATGCGCTTTTCCATCGGCTCTGCTTCAATTCAAACTTGGAGCTCCAGTATGGAGGGGACTATGATTCATTTACAGATGTTGTACAAGAATTTTTTGAATCACTGTTTGCTTGTAATATATGTCCATATGTTGTATTAGATGGAGGATGTGACATTTCAGATAAAAAGCTTACAACTTTAAAAGATCGGGCTAGAGAGAAGATCCAGATGGCCCATTCCCTTTCTATTGGGGGAGGTGGGTGTGTGTGTCCTTTACTCATCCGAGAAGTTTTCATCCAGGTTTTGATCAAGTTGCAGGTATGTTTTGTCCAGTGCTTTTCAGAAGCAGATCAGGATATCGTGACACTTGCTAATCATTGGAATTGCCCTGTTTTATCATCAGACAGTGACTTTTGCATTTTTGACCTAAAAGCTGGCTTTTGCCCCTTGAATGGCTTTCAGTGGAGAAACATGAACACTATTAAAGGCACACAAAACTACTATATCCCTGCCACATGCTTCTCTATTGATGCCTTCTGCCATCACTTCAGCAACATGAATAAAGCTCTGCTACCTCTCTTTGCGGTGCTGTGCGGAAATGACTATATCAATCTGCCCATCGTAGAGGCATTCTTGAGTAAAATACGTCTTCCTGTGGGAGCTACCAGTCTTAAGGGGAGGAGACATCACCGAGTTGTGGGACTTCTGAATTGGTTGTCTTGTTTTGATGACCCTACTGAAGCACTAGATAAAGTTCTAAAGTTTCTCCCAAAAAAGGATCGAGAAAATGTCAAGGAGCTTCTCTGCTGTTCCATGAAACAGTACCAGCAGTCCCATGTGAAGCTGCAGGACTTCTTCCAGCATGGTGCTTATGTCTGTCCAGACTCCTTGAATCTTAGCTTACCAGAATGGGTACTAGTGGCTTTGGCCAAAGGCCAGCTATCTCCTTTCATCAGTGATGCTCTGGTGCTGAGACGGACCATTCTCCACACACAGGTGGAAAACATGCAGCAACCAAATGCCCACAGGATAGCCCAGTCCATCCGGCAAATCATCTACGGGATTCTTTTGAATACTTGGCCGCATCTGGAAAACACATCCTGGAATGTGTCATCTCCTCAGCCTCTAGCTGTCAGCGAAGTGGAAAGGGTTCATAAAAGTATCAAAACATCAATTGTTCAAGCTGTAAAACTGCCTGAGGATCATTCTGATTTAAACAAATTGATGGAGGTAAGTACGGTACCAGTGGAATCTTTGTAAAGCACTTCACAGTTGGAGTGCTTTCAATGGGTCTATTAACCCAAACTCACTGCTGTTGATCCGATTCTAACTCTTGGCGATCTTACAAGACAAGTAGAACTTCCTCATAGGAGTTCTGTGGTTTCCGTAGAACTTCCATAGCCTTAAGTTTTCCAAGGCTGTGAACTTTACCAAAGCAGATCACCACGTCTTTTCTCTCATAGAGCCACTGGCAGGTTCGAACTGCCAACCTTTCAGTTAGCAGCTGAGCACGTTAACTACTGTGCCACCAGGGCTCCTTTCATGTATATTTTCTTGCTTTATTTAGTATGACAAACTTAGGTAGGTTGCTATATTGCCCCAGCTTATAGCTCAAACATGGGAGGTGAGTAAACTGCCCTACTATCATAGCCAGTGTGTCAGTGGTAGGACTCAAGGCTAGATCATTTAGCTCCACATCATCCATTTCTACTGTAATTCAGAGGTCTGTGTTGTTATCTTTGCAGTTATTGCTACTCTCTTGATGCTAGCTATCAATAGACTGGGTAATGTGGCTTTTTTAAAAAAAAGTCTTAACTGCAAAGGAAAAAAAATGTATGCTTATAGGCACTGATGAAACTAACATTTCAGACTGTATCAGATTTCAGTTAATATTAGTACTGATGCTTAAGTCTAATTTTTTGTTTTCATTGATGAGGACTTTCAGGCTTTCAGTTTGTGGCATCATGATGATTTTCTTGGTTTGATCCTGAAAATATGTCACGTAGCCTAACTTGGTGTTTCTTAAACCTGAGTAATGCTCAGCGCAGTTCCCTTTCAAGGCAATAAAAGTCTCATAGATCACCCCAGTGTTGACTTAATTTAGTTGCAATATTACATAAATATATGAAAATATGTATATATATGAAAGTATGCTGATAACACATTAAGTTTACAAAGTAGATGGAGATAAACTTACAAAACCTATTGCAGTGCCCATTGAGGAGTTTCTTAGAGTCAACTCTACATTCAGACTCATCAGACTACAACAGGCCATTCTTGGCAACAGTGTACTCAGAAAGATCTAAAAGAACCAGAGCTGCTTAGCAGGGAATTACTACTGGCCTCTAGTGGGTAGAGGCAAAGGATGCAGCTTAACATCCTTTGTTGCACAGGACAATGCCTAACAGCAAAGAATGATCTGACCTAAAATGTCAGTGGACTGGGGGTGAGAAATTCCTGGCCTGCAGAGCTGACCAGGAACTAGCTGCTTTGGCATCCTCATGTGTGACAGCTCGGGCAGGAGGAAATGAGACTGGCATTAGGTGGGTGCAACAGCTTCCTTGGCAATGGAAAGGACTGCTAATGGGGCAGAGTTTCTTTTTGGGGTAATGAAAATGTTCTGGAATTAGTGGTGATGGCTACACCACAGTGTGAATGTACTAAAAGCCACTGGGCTGTACATTGAACAGGTGAATATTACGGTATGTAAATTATATCCCCGTTAGATATTTGTTTACAGTTCAAGTGTAGATTATACATCATTTAGTGAACAATGCTAATGACTAATAGTCATTAGTTTCATCCTTAGTAACACGATAATCTACCTTTATCAGGTTTCCAGAGTTATGGAGCCAGAAGGGGAAGCATAGATCAGATTCTCAAACAGAAGCACTTGGTTAACCCTTTACCCATACCAATAAAATGTTAATTAGCAACGTTCTGAAAGATATTTTGCTGAAATTAAATTTCTACTCATAAATGGGTTGGTTGGTTATGTTGTAGTGGCCTTACTTTATGCAGCTTTATTGAAGAGTAGATGGCCAGGAACTGCACATGATAGTGGGCACTTTGATGAGCTGTGATTTGTCTATACATCTGGGAATCCATCCCACAACTGAAATAACATACTCATCACCCCCAAAAGTTCCCTTGTGCCCCTTTGTAATTTACCCCTCCCTCACTATGTACATAAAGAAAAGTGCACAGAAATTATATGGCTTGATGAAGTTTCACAGACTGAACACACCCCAGTGGCTTGTCCTGGTCACCCCTCCTTCCCACTCTAGTCACTGTCCTGCCTTCTAATAACAGAATAGTTTTGTTTTTTTTTTACTTTATAGAAATGGAATCATACATTTGAACTCGTTTATATCTGGCTTTTATTCAACACAATGCTTTTGAGATTTGTCCATGTCAGTATGAGCAGTTGTAGTTTATTGATGCTCATTGCTGCGTTTTACTGCATTATGAGAATATACCACAATTGGATTTTCCATTCTACAGCCAATGGGCATTTAGGTAGTTTCAAGGTTTGGCTCTTGTGAATAGCACTGCTATGAACATTCTAGTGTACATCATTTAGTGAAAACTGGACACATTTCTACTGCACATACACCTAGGAATTGCTGGGACATAGGATGCCACAAATGGTCTTCCAATTAGTTGTGCTGATTCCCATCAGTAGTATATGAGAGTTCCATTTACTTTTCACTTGTCAATACTTGGAAGTTCTAAAGTTTAGCTGTTCGGCTGGTGGTACAGTGGTATCATTTTAGCCGTTTTGGTTTGGTATGTAAGGGTTATAATTTGCTTTTCTCAGATGATTAATTTGAGGGCATTTTCATATGTTCATTGACCATTTGGAGACTGATTTATGTGGAGTTTCTGTTCAATCCTTGCCCGTTTTTCTGTTGTGTTGGCTTTTTGTTGTTGATTTCTGTGTATGAGTCCTTTGTCAAATACCCTGTATTGTGAGTAGCCTCTCCCATTCTGTGGGTTGTCTTTTCACCCTTTAGTTTATTTTGACAAACAAAAGTTCTTAATATAGTCCAGTTTTTATTATTCATGGATATCACATTTGTGATGTAAAAAAGGATTGCCTACTCTGAGCTTTATTCTAAAAGTTTTATTGTTTTGCCTTTCACATTTAAACTTACATCTATCTGTTGTTGTTGTTGTGTGCAATCAAGTCAGACCCGGCTCATAGTGATCCCTGCTTGGGTTTCCAAGGCAGTATCACTCTGGAAGTAGATTGCCCAACTTTCTGAGGAGTGGCTGGTGGGTTTGAACTACCAGCCTTCTGGTTAACAGTCAAGTCCCTTAGGCACTATGCCACCAGAGCTCCCTAAATCTATCTAGGTTTGATTTTTATGTGGATGGTGTGAAGTAGGACTTCCTGTATAGGAATCCTATTGAATTGATTCAATCAGTGCCAGTTACACCTTCTGCTAAGTGGAGATGACTTGAGTCTCTTACTGCTTACTTGTCTTCTCAGAGTCGTGTGAAATTTTAATTCACCCTCTGCTGTGATGTCATTTAGCTGAATACAATTCTATATTTAGCCCATATTGTTGGCTCTAATTAGCCCATGATAACTCTAAATGGTAACAGGTGTAAATATGATTCCAAATGCAAATGCTCATACAAGAATGGAAACCTTGTGACAGTATTTAGTCATTTTGATGTTGTTTCTTAAAATGATGTGATAATAAATAATTAAGTATCTGCTTTATGCCAGCTGATAGGAACCTTATACAGTTGCTCATTTAATTCCCAGAGTAACCACATCAGGTAAGGTTTCATTTGGGTTCTATTGGCTGCAGTAGACAAGAGTGTCACTTGAGTTAACTGAAGAAAAGGGAGGTTAGTTGTAAGAAGACATGGAAGTGGATCCTTCCTGGAAGTGAGGCAGGGCCCAGAGCAGCTTCTCAGGGTGTCTGTGCCAGGTGCTCTGGCAGCGTCCTCTGCGGGTGTGTGCTTTCATTTCTCTGAGAGAAAGAGATTGTCACATGGGAGTAACCTAAACAGCTTGCCAAGGGCTGTGAACAGAGAAAGCCCCCTTCTGGAAAGAGCTGAGGACTGGTGGGGTCCTTGAAGCATCTTTTGCAATGTATTATAGATGCCCATTTTACAGATGATCAATCACACTGTAGAGAGCCTCAGAAACTTGCTCATGGCTAGAGAGTTTGTGGGGGCAGAGCAAAGCTTTAGTCATAAAGTTATAATTTAGATTGAGAAGTCAATAATTTAAGCATTAGATGTCAGAAAAGGATTAGTATATTTTCCTACCTTTACTTGCTATATTTTTCTACCAGTTTAGGAAATTAAAAAGTAGTTTTTATTTTACTCTAAATTTAAGTAGGTAATGCTGTTTCTAGTAGGGGTGATTGATTATACTGTAAAGCACTTTATATATCTCTAATTTAAAAAAAAACTTTATCACTGTCACGGTATTATCAAAACAAGTATTTAGAAAGTCTGTGATTGAATGCTCTCATGCATTGATGGAACAATTTTGACACCTGTTTTATTTCAGGTTAACATTTCTGTTCTAAGTTGTCAGCTACATTTGACTACTAACTAGGTGCTGGGTGTTGAGAAATGTGCTAGACTTTCTCTTCCTTCCAGAAAGTTAAGAGAGAAACCCTTTTCTGGAGGTGTGTAGACACTAGAATACAACTGTTTGTTTGTTTGTTCTTCTCTTAGGGTTTGGTTGTAAAGTCCTCCAGAAGGTGCCTTTTCAATAGTCCTAGTTTTTCTGTCTCTAAGAATATGTAACCTATAAGATCCTTTATGGTTTTGAAATACTAAAGATGCACTTAATTAAAAAGTATTTCAACAAGAAGACTGCATAACTGTTTATTTCTTGACTTTTATTTCAGATGCACTACAGAGCTTAGTGTTAAGATGAGTGTGGCAGGTTATTGCATGCACAATGCAGATAGTCCTTAAAATACTCCCATCACTCTTTTTTTTTTTTTTTTTTAATTGTGATTTGGGTAAAGATTTACAGAGCAGGTTCACTTTCCATACAGCAGTTCACCTGCACTTTGTCTCATGACATTGACCACAGTTTACCACAGTGCAATAGCTCCCCTCCCACTTCCTCCCCATGGTTACCTCTTCCCAGTGTCCATCCCTCCATGCACTCCTGCCCCCTGAGCTGTCTCCTGTGCATAAGCAGCCCTTCTTTCTCCCATGATTGTTCTCTCCAAGGAAATACTCCCATCACTCTTGAATGTAACCCTAACCTTCACGTGGCCTCTCTGGGATGATGTGGGGCAAGAGAACAGTAAAACATTCAGGCTGGGGAGGGACACGGGGCAGGACCCAGGCAAATACTAGGCTGTATGATGTGCTGCAGAGAGTTTGCATAAACCAAGAGTTTGTATTCTGGAGGTAATTGGGAGTGGTTTCATGAAGATGATAAGACAACCACTTAACTGACAAGAGTAGGGTTTCCAGAAGCATAGATCTTTGTTTCTCAGAGTTCTGCATCTGAGTTGCTAGTTAAAATACAGGTTCCTGGGTTCCCTCAGACTTAAACAAAATCCTAATTGGGGCAGGGGCCTGAGGATTTGAATTTTTAGCATGCCTCCCAGTTTGTTTGATGCCAAGGGCGGGTAGCTCAGGTAGATAGTCCAGCCATTCAGTCAGCAATATGAAGTGCTTATTAATGTTCTAGATGCTTTGAGGGTGGCTGATTTTTTTCCACAGGAAGATGATTTGAAAAGCGACACAGCAGTCTCTTGCATTATCTTCATGCTAGGGGGGAATAAAAAAGGCATTCTCCAAAGTAACCTGCAGGATGTGGGGTATATATTTTCAGCTTCCTTTGGAAAAACGAGAGATGCTTCTGTTAGAAACCCTGAAGGTGAAACGTACTATCCTGGATCCAATCCCTACTTCATTGAGGTTGCCCATTGCTGTCAGTTGCTATTGGTTGCAGCACGCGGAGGCCAAGGCAAAGCTGCATCACGTACAGGCCTTACTGCTGGGGATGCTGATAGGGCCCTTGCATGCCATCAAGAGCCCTGGTAGGTATCGGGAATTTCCAGGAGTGTGCTTTTCCATGTTTCTTGCATACACGCAAAGGTTGAAACAAATAAAATATATTTGGATTATTTATTCTCATCAGTTTATATCATAAAAGAAAAGGTATCAAAGTATCATTCACTTGTTGATAAATACATTTGGTACAGAGTATTTGTGGACAGTGCCAGGCTTCATGCTGGAGGACTTGACTGCAGTGGTGCAGCAGTGAAGAAGAGCTGGCACCTGATGCTTTCTTGTGACTTACCTGATGGGTGCGTGTGCCAGTTGCATTCTCTATTCCATGTTCCTCATCCCATCGTCAATAGAGCAGCAACATACCCCAAGAACTTAATTAAAATTGCCCACTGGAGAAAACTTCTGATATCTATAACCATCATAAATATTTATGTTTGTGTGCTCCATTTTGTTTTTAACCTTTTTATTCCCTCCATTGTAAATTTCAAATAATATGTAAGTAGAAATAGTAACTACTGTTACTAGTAGATAAATACACTTTTTGCTGCATCATAGCTCTTCAATTCTATGATGCAATTAATCTCTTTAAAAGACCTTGAATTCAGTAGCACTTTAAAGAAACATATTTAAAGTTGTCACACTCTAAACCAGTACTTATATGATAGCCATCTGTGGTTATTGAAATTTAAATTAAGTCAAATTAAAAATTCAGCTTCTCAGTTGCACTAGCCACATTTCAAGTGTTCAGTGGCCACATGTGGCAAGAAGTGACTGTATTGGACAGTGCAAATTCAGAGCATTTCCATCACTGGGGAGGGTTGTGTTAGACAGTGCTACTCCAGTGTTTACTTTTTAAAAATAAGTTAAATGAAATAGCATGGGCTGCAAGATACCCCAAGTTTTAAGGCTAAAGTGTAAGAGTACCTGTCAGAGGGACAGTTATGTGAAAGCAAAATAAATGATTTAAGGCACACTAGCTCTGCTGGTAGGAGCTCTGGTAGCTCTGGTGGCACAGTGGGTAAGGCATTTGGCTGCTTACCCCAAGGTAGGTGGTTCAAACCCATCAGCAGCTCCATGGGAATAAGATGAGGCAGTCTACTTCCATAAAAATTTACAGTCTTGGAAATCCAATGGGAGTCACTATAAGTAGAAATTGATTCGATGGCAGTGGGTTTTAACTGCCCTAAGTGCTTCCTGAGTGATGCAAACAAGTTAGGGAGCTCGGTGCTAACCCAGAGGTTGGAGCTTTGAGTCCACCCTGAGGAGCCTCAGAAGAAAGGCCTGGTGAGCTACTTCTGAAAAACATGCCATTGAAAACCCTGAGGAGCAGAGTTCTGCTCTGACATGCATGGGTCACCATGAGTAGGATTGATTAACTGGACCGCAACTGGGAAATGCTTTAACACACTAAGGTAGGTGTTTCTTCTCCCTCAATTCAAAATCCGTATCTCAGAGCACAAGACTTTAGCAGAGTCCAACAGAAAGTGCATGCCAAGGGTCTGTTTCTCTTCTTTTAGGGACTGTGGACCCCACACCCAGGCAGGCTCAGCGCCCTGCTGTTTGCTAATTAGTCAAAGGTAGGCCTCCTTTTCATCATTTTCAAGTTGATGCAGATGTCATTTTGTGTTACCTGCTCAAAGCAGCCTGCAGCAGCTTAAAGCTGAGTGCACACAGCATGGTTTCCCAGCACTGCCTCTTGCCCCTTCTCCCCTACCACTTCCAATTGATGATCCCTCAAAATCTCTGAGTTACCTCCAGTTTTTCTCCCATGAATTGAAGGCTAAAATGTGCTTTGAACATACTGCGTGCTGCTTTAAAACAAATGCACTGTAGCATGGGGGTTTTCCATGAAAGGAAGTTGAGTGAAAAGGAACAATAAGGAGAATGATATTTAATAGTAATTTGTGTTTTTTAAAGATGCAGACCTAGGATTTGGAGAGTTCAGGTATCAGAGTGTTTAAGGTCAGGTAGTGAACGAGAACTTACTCCAAGGACAAAATTGGACAAAATCACTTGGGTTCAGTAAAATTAAGCTATCATTAAAAAGATACCTCACTATAAATATTTCAATTTAAACAACAAGGCTTTTACTTGGGAGTTAAAATAGTAAAACACCAAAAGAGCAAAGCATTTGAGCCTTGTAAACTAATTTTCTTTAGGAAGTTTGTTGTTTTATATGTGAAGAATCACAAGGATGTTTTTGGAAATAATGTCCTCGGGCCATTTCTTTATCTAGATAAGGAAGATGTGAGGGAAGATGGCGCTAAGATGTTGTACAAAGAATTCCACCGAGTGAGGGAGCAGGCCCGGCTGAGGAGGAGGTTGGACCTGGACACCGCACACGTCTTCTGTCAGTGGCAGTGCTGTCTGCAGATGGTGGTCTATCTCAACCAGTTGCTGTCTGCTCCTCTGCCAGAGCCAGACCTAACTCGGTAAGCACCGTGCAAAACTTTAGTTCAGGTGGACACCCACAAGAGAGAAGTACTTATGTTTAAAAGTTTGTCTTTCATAATTAATCTCGCTGTAATTGATCTTGGATCACTTTTCTAACTGAAGAGCTAGAAATGGGGAAAATATTTTTTCTCTATTTCCAAAGGATGTTTCCATGATTAGATCCATGATTTTTTTAAAAAATCAGTTCTTTAAAATACTAATACGAGAGAAAGAAGCAGTTGTTAGTAGGATATAACTCATTCCTAACCTCCTTCAGGTCTTTGCTCAAATGTCACCTTTTGGAGGCATTTTCTGCCCGCTCTGTGAAACTACTTCTCTGCTCCTTTCACTCTTGTTTTTTATAGTACTTCTTACTGCCTGACATAGCACTCACTCAATCACTCATCAAGTATTTTTTAAGTGGCACCTCTGTGCTAGGGATATAGTGAACAAAATAATAAAAAAATCTGTGTTCTCATGTGCCTTCTATTCCAGTGAGATGACTATCAGCCATCTAAGTGGGCTTTACCCAGGGCTGTGGTTTTGCCAGACAAGTTAGAAGGGAGAGGCAGCAAGGGACTTGAGCCTGTGTCCCAGGGAGTGATCATGTTTGCCTGTGGAGTTTAAGCTGGGTAAAAAAATTAAAAAATAAAAGCTAACAGTAAGGTGAAGGCCAGTGAAAAAGTGGTGAGCTAACTGGATTGTCCCTCCTGGTGATTGTCCAACTGGTAAAAGAGGGATGGTTAGAGAGGATGGAGTATTTGAGATTGTATGTTTGTCCACTAGAATGTAAGCTCTGTGAGGGTAGGGAACTGTCTATTTACTGTTGTAGCCCCACTATCAAGCATGCAAGTTAAGTACTCAAATATTTTTTAAATGAATGAGTGGTATAGAGACATACAAAATATGCTGATATGACTTTCAGTATGTTTCAAGATGAAAAACTTCCTAGCAATAAATAGTGTATCTCTGGGCCTCATATCTAAGCTATCCTTAGAGCCTTCTACTGAATAGGATTAATTGGCCTTTGGCCTACAGATTCTTTCATTCTTTACTTTTTAGGTCACCCTTGGCTTGGAGCCAGTTGCAAAATCCGTTAGCATTCATCATTTAATATGCTGATAAATTTGTTAAATATCGCCAGCCAATAATTAATCTTTGTAATAACAAGTTAGTTCCTTCCTTCAAGAACAGTTTGTTGTTGTTATGTGCCGTCAAGTCGGACCAGATTCATAGCGACCTTGGGTTTCCGAGGGAGTATCACTACAGAAGTATATTGCCCCATCTTCCTTCCGAGGAGTGGCTGGTGAGTTTGAACCGCCAGTCTTCTGGTTGGTAGTCAAGTGCCTTAGGCACTATGCTACCAGAGCTCCTAATTTTTCAGAAGCAGTAAGAGTTCTCAGTGTGTTTCTCAGTTTGTTTCTGCTACATTAATGACAGTTGTCCAGTACATTGACCCTAAGCTTTAACAATACACTTTTTTCTCCCTTTGACAGAGTGTATAGTGGAACCCTGGTACATGGACTATGCCAAGAGCTACGAGCATCAACGTCTGTAGAAACTCTCCTGAGCATGTGTCCTGAGGCAAAGCAACTCTATGAACATATGTTCAATGCCATGCAGTTACATGCCCCTCCTGAATTATTCCTACCAAAGGGTAAATCAAATTCAAAAAAGAAAAGGCGGAAGAAACCAAGTACCAACTGTCCAAAGAGTAGAGTGGGAACCACCTCAGGTCACAGGTGTTGGTCCAAAGGAAGCAATCGATTTGGGCTGTTAACGGCTGAAAACTTGGAGGAACATACTGAGCCTCCAGAGTCTGAGTAAGCTCAGTCTGCAGCCGGATGTGTACTTAAAATGTTCCCGTTACTCACCTTGAAATGATTAACTCTTCTCTTTGGCACTAACCTGGATTAACAATACAGTAGGTAATCTTTGAACTCTAAGATTTTTGTATTGATTTTAATAAATACAACCTGATTTAAGAAACTTCTGTATTTCTTAAACACACATTTGAAAACATAATTATATTCCTCATGTTCCATTTCAGTTATAATCTGTAACCTTTGAATTGCAGCAACTCAGGCAGCTATATTTTCAGAGTAGGAGTCCTACTTCTGTTACTTCCTATGATTAGAAGTTGAGTTGTTACCATTTCAAAAACTTTACAAAACGGACTCCTCTTCATACATTAGTATGAGAGGTCTGTCTGGGCCATCAAAGTTAGAAGTAAGGACACTAGACAGGAAATTATATTCTTCAAGTTAAGCACTTAGTAAATGAGACCATAGCAGGGTTGATGAGCACTTTAGAGATACTCCAGATTTTAAGGCAGAAGTGGACACTGTAATGGGCAAAATAAGAAACAACACCCTGAGCTGCTAGATCTATAGGAGGAAAGGGGAACCAGTGAGAAGAAATGAAGAAAAGATACATGCAGCAATATCAGACTCTAGACCCCTTTTCATACTAACATTCTTGACCCACTAATGGGATGTGAAATTAACTTAATGGGTCATAACTAGCATTTTCAAATGAAAAAAAAATTACCACACATGTATATCATGAATTAAGATTGCTGTGCAAAATGTATTTCTTCTTATGGGTTACAGTAAAAAAAAAGTCTGAAAGGTTCTTTTCTGGAACACACCAAGGCTGCTAAAAATATGGAAACCAACAGATTTGGAAGGTGCTGGCCAGTTCCAAATAAAGAACTTGAAGAGAAAAAGCAAGTGCAATGAATAGATCTGTGCAAGATTTGAGAATCTGAAGTATATTCCAACCTTCATTTTACTTGTCTTCACACAAACTGTGTTCCTCCTTTCTTTTCTACTTTACCAATGGCATATTCCATCAGTTATTAAAGGCTGCTTTAAGATCACCCTGAACAGGCCTGATAAACAATTTTCTCCACTTTTGTGATAGCTGTATGTCAACTTGGCGGGGCCTGGTTGAGTGGCTGGGCAGCTGGTGGTAGTTATTCCCCATTATGAGACTGGCAATCAACTCCATGGTGGGATCTATCACAAACAGCTGAGTAACTGCCATTGGGATGTGGTCTGCTTCCCATATATAAGCAGCAGCTTTGGGAATGGTCTCTACCTTATGGCACCTTGAGCCCTGCATGTAGCCATGTTGTTGTTCAGCAGCCTGCCATGCTCTGCTGACCTTGGGACTTTGAATGGACTTGAATCAATGGCCTGCTGTGTGGTTTGGTAACATTGGGACTGTGCCTTTTTACTTGTCAGCCTTGGGCTTGTCAGCCTCAGCAGCCAGCAGCTGCCTGCGTGAAGAAAAGCCTCCAGCTTCAGTGGGCAGGGAGCAGGAGGCAGAGCTGAAGCCCAAGGCTGAGGGGCTTTCCCCCAGCCCCTAGAGCCTGGCACTTTGAACTCAGGCTTAAAGCCTCCAAACTAAGAGAATAGACTCCTGTTTGTTAAAGCCATCCCCTTTGTGATATATTCTACTCAGAACGGCACAGAGGTAACCAGAACAACCTTCCCAGAATAAGCCATACTCTTAGGGCATCAGCTAGTGTCAACACACCTCTCACGTATTGACTGGCTTTAGCCATTTACAAAAAGCAAAAATACAATCTCATTTGCCCCTAAAGTTTTCAACCCCCAAAACTGATTTCTATTTCAAATAAGAGTTCCTGAAAGAAGTTTTTCCTTATTTTAGGAAAGCGTGGTAGTAGTTTTTATGTCTAATAAAATAATGGTAATGAGATTATTCCCAAAAGTATGAAGAGCAGTCAAGTGTCTCCATTTGTGAGAAGTGTCTTGCAAACAGTGTATCTAATGGGGGTCATATGCATGTAAGACCTTGATTATATCAATACTCTTTTTCCTTAATTACCTCCTGGAGTTTGAGACAACTGGAAATTATAATACCAATATGAATGTCCTGTTTCTACATTAATCATCAACACTGCCCTTTAAAACCATTCCTTCCCACTTCCATATGGGCAGATAACTGATTTAATAGGTACCAAACTGGAGAGTGTATGGGCTACAGAATTTAATTAAAAGTCAACTAAATTCCACTAGTCATCATTTTCTTTCATTTAAAGGAGTATTCTAAGCAAAACAGTCCTTTAGCAGGCTTAAGAAGAAGTCAGGTTCCCTTCTCTAGCCACTACCATTAAGAGTCACTTACCTGAAATTATCCAACCTCATAGGAATAAAAATAACAACATCCTCATTTACTCTTTGTGAGAACCCAGGAAAGCTACCTACTGCTGTGTGTGTCCTCTCTGCATGTACTGGACAACTGGTCACAGGCACATTATAGGACACCTGACGGAGCTTACCAAAGAAATAAGACATGATGTAGACAGTGAATCTGCATTCTTGGAACTGGTTTTTGACTTGGCTTTAAGGGGCAAGGATGTAATTCAGATCAGGTACAGAAGGAACCAGGGAACACCTGTGTAGAAGCAAAATGTTAATAGTCCCACATTCTAATGGTGAAATGTGTTAACTTGGTTTTTCAACTCTTTAGAGTCTGTTCCTCCTGGCTCAGTTCTAGCAAATGAAATCTCACCTAAGTTTTGGAGGTGAAAGGCTTCAGTTAGCAAAAGGAACTTTAGGGATAAACTTGGAGATAAATAGGTTTATTAGAATGTAACCATATCCTGTATTTGGTGATGATGAAATTAGACTTGAAATTTTTTTAAAAGCCCCAGTCAAGACACCTGCAACTCAAAATTTTTAGAGCCTATAAATACACTCCTTAAAAGCCATTAATGCCAACTGACCATCATAGGAAAGAATTCAAATTGATGGTTAGGATTTTAGGCAATAAACAACCATTCTTTTACAGTTAAAAAGGTCTTAGAATTATCTTCTTATGTGGATAAAGATAATGAGTTAACAACTACACCTCAGTTACCCTACTTACAAAATGAGGATCATAATAGTTGCAATTATTGTCTAAGGATTAAATAACATGTACTTTTAAGTCACTTTGCACAGGGTCTGGTACTAAAAACATGGAACAGATAATAACCATTATTTTTATATCCACACCTGAATAGCAAGAGCAAAGCAGGGATCTGGGAAGAAGTGAGAGAATACTGAGAACTATGAAGGCACCACGAGACTAGTGTTGCCTCTTTATGAGTCGGAAGAGATCAGCGTTATCCAATACAGCTAAAATAGGCCAGAACATGTGAAGGAAACATTACAGGAATTACAGCATAGTAGTCAGGCTGAAGGCACACTGGAGAATGGAGACGTGCCCTAAATAAGTAAGTAAATAAATAAATAGATGACCAAGCTCAATCTCAGAAAATAATGAAATCATGAAAACAGACCAGAAGGAACTACTCCGGCACGAGCACTCGTGCCCCTCTCTGCCCTTTCTCCTGTTTTCTACATTTCCTGTACTGCTTTTTAAACTCAATTTAGATGAACCAGAGGTATGTTCAGAGATAGGGGGAAAAAGTGTTAAGAGCAGCTATTGCCACTTCCTGGAAACTCCCTCTTCCTGCTACCAGGGTTATATCCTGGCCCTACCCCACAGTCCATAATAGGCCCCAGCTGTCTGGTTCCAGGTTTCACTTGGTGCTGCCATCTGCATACACTGCTTGACTACTGGCATACCATGAACACCAAGCAACACCCGGACAGCAGCCAGCACCAGTGCCAGCAGGAAGAATTTCACTTCTGCAGAAGGGTAACTCTTGGTGGTACCTGACTCCAAATGTGGTGACCTTATATTTTTAATGGGGTGGTTGGGGGAAACCTCATTTCAAGTAAAGGCAGCTGAATATGATCTGTACTTTGTACCAGTTTAAGTATCTTTTCTCTTGGACAGATGTATTAGAAAGATGTCTCCCAGCAGCAAATTTCTGAGCCATACATGACAGGTTATTTTTGCACTTCTTTCCAGAGATCTCAATAATACCAATTCAAGACCAGCCAACTATAAGAATTCTGAGAACCTCATGCTAAGTAGGAATTTTAAAATTCAAAGGCAGGACTGCACCAGGTCATTTACCAGTCTTAAAATGGCAGAGACAGATGGATAATAAGTGGACAAGTGTTTCCAACAAGTTGCACTGGATTCAGCTTTCAGGGAGAAAAAAAGTCACATGAACATTTTGCAGTGCACATTCCTATTGGTATTGACTTCATCTTTTTAGAGATCTATTTAAAATAGCTGTCTTTCTCTTGACATTGTGTGTGTATATGAAGGAGCTCTGATGGTGTACTGCCTAAGGCACTTGACTGGTAACCAGAAGGTTGGCGGTTCAAACCCACCAGTCACTCCGTGGAAGGAAGACTGGGTGATGTACTTCTGTAAAGATTTACCACCTCAGAAACCTAAAGGGGGTCTTTATGAGTCAGAATAAACTCGATGGCAATGAGTTTATATCTATATATGTGTGTGGGTGTTTAAAAAACAATTTTTCTATTACCACTCTGGGGACACTTAGAGATTTCTGATAACACTGTTATCAGAATCGGGGAACTTAGGGATGCCTTTGGGGGAAAAAAAAAAAGCTGATGTTAACTTACAACCTGATCACACTCATCAACACTAAATATTAGAATGTACTCATATTGGAATTTTGATCATGCATAGGACTAAATCATTTGACTCAAAAATTATGCTATCATGTGAACTAGCATACAAAAGTAGGAACATTTCTCAAGTGTCTTTTTACATATAATTAATCCTTTTTGAGGATTAAGTGAGGAGCTAGTAAATCATGTTGAAAACTGCCACGTGACTGTCTAGGACGTGCCCTGTCTGCACCTCTGCTTCATGTGTGTTAAACAGCACTGAGGAAGTCAAAGGGCGTTGACATGGGAAAAGTTGAC